ATATATATATATATATATATATATATATATATACACACACACACATACATACATACACGTGTGTGTGTGTGTGTGATATATGGTAATCAAAATGTCATCATATTTAATAATAATGATACTAAGTCAGATTTATATTTTGTAGGTCAACTTTTGAGAGAATACATTAAGAAATCTCAGAGTTCCCACATATATTGTTGTACAAGTGAAATTACAACTTGATTTCCACAAATTGCATGACGCTGCTGCAAAAGGGTTAATGAAGAATAAATTACAGCTAAACAATAATACCTGTGTGTTACTTGATAGCTGGAAGGATGAGGCATAAAACAGTGGGAGAGAATACCTGGTGCAGCACTAAGGGGGAGAAGAAAAGAAAAGTGGGTGCATTTGTGAATGGACGTGTGTTGCACTCCTATTCGTGGAGGGTTTTGCTGCATGATAAATGATCATGCAGTTGTGCAATTTCATTTGAATTTTAGGTGGAAGTTTCTACAAGGCTATTGGTATGCAAGTCTCTCAGGCAGTTTAGCACAGTTTCAAGAGGATAATAGCTTTCTCTGTATTGTGGGTGAGTGATTGTACCAGAAGTTTGTTTTCATTCAAAAGCCATATTTCAACAAAGAAATACAACTGCAAAAAATTTCATGAAGACAACATATAGAAAAATATTACCATTTGAGCCACTACGATTTAATAAAAGTATTATACATACCTTGTTACCACTTCAGCAACCATGGTTTTTCCCATAATAAGGTCTACTACATGGTAACTTGTATTGCTCTCTTCAGCATAATCCTCTAATCCTGCAAGTTGGCAATGTACAGCCTAATAACAGAGAATAGTGAAAAATGCAAATGAGTGTTTACACACATGAAATATCTATTTACCTTGGTTGTCAGTGAAGTTTATAAAAATAATTCTTAAATTAGTTTAGCTTACTTAATACTTCTATGATTTAGGAACTTAAATATTATACACATCATTCAAAACATTTCACACTGCTTCAGGTTTTTTCTAATGAACTAAATAATTTAATCATGATAATTGTGTACAGAAATACTGCATATCGCAAGCTGTACTGCTCTCTATTAGCATTTTAATCTAACAAAAGATACCAGAAAAACACTTTAAATTGTCTTTGTTATTACCTAAATTGTTTTATGCCCAACTGTTGAATACAAACCAGTAATGTCTAGGATTGGTGTAATTTAAAAAATAATAATTTAAATGCACAGAATTGTTACTACTGATGTTGACCGTAACATTTATTATTCAATAAATATATCTGTAAACTTTCTTCATGAGGATACTGAAACACTCTTCTGCCACATTTAATAGTCACAGACTGGAAGTGGACTTTTCACACGCTATATCTGTTTTATTTTTACAATACACAGTGATTAGAAAGTGAGTATTCCACTTTAATGAGTATTATAGCACATAAACTATAAAAGTTTAGGATGGTGCAGGGAATTAAGCTTTATTACACAAATTGCTGTAGCATAAAGATACCCTATCAGAAGTATCGTATGTTGCATAATATGCACTAAGGTTTTTGCTTCTATGCAGAGATTGATCTGTAAATTTGAAAAATATTATACAAGTGTTAAGTACCATTCTAGAAGACTCACAACTCCCTGGTTAAAAATTTTTTTAAGTTGTTCATGCACAAATGTCTATAGAGCCTGCCATGACCTTGCAATATCCTGATTACTTGATGCAAAAGTTATAATGATCTAGATGACTCTTTAGGTGCATGCTGAATGTTCTATTACAAACCTCACAACAGGAACAAGATCCAGTTCATCTCTAAGTAAACTACCTATTTGTAGAATTTAATAAACAATGTTACAGGGAATTAAATGATTCAGTCAAATTAACAAAGCTGATTACAGAAGCGTTTATGTATAGAAGTAATAAAATTAGTGTTTTTCAGAGCAATAATCATTGTAACTGTTATTTTCATAAGTATTAAATGCATATTTTGTTCTATGATTTCTGATTCTGTCTCCGTGATTCTCAAATACATTTCCTCAACTTGGCAGCCTATTAAAATTCTTGGTATTTTAAATAAATACTGTTTTGTAACAGCTTTACTATGTAGCAGTAATAATCACCTGGTACATCTTAATGTACTGAGCACTGAAACCACCTTGGCAATCTGTTGGTTGAAAATAAACTGGTTTGAAAAGTCAAATGTTATGACATTATGGATAAATTTTCAAAAAGAATTGCATTTAAAGACAATGTACAGTAATTCCACAACTCAGGCATGAAATAACTTCTTTGAAGACATTTAAGTTTACTCTACAAATTGAAATACCAAAGACTTGTAAAATTATTAGATTTTGTTAAATTAAATTGCGTAAGTAATAAACTAAAGCCATCTAGACCTACTCTGTCATGCAAAAAGCATTAAAACTACACATTATTATAACCTGCAAATCTGCAGTTCAGTTTTAGTTTTTAATCTACGCTTCAAATTATTGTAGGACCAAGAAGGAAAGTCATTATTTGTTATCTTCCTTTCTTCCATATGAAGTACACTTAGACACGTCAGCTTCACAATGTTTTGCATCATTTGTTTTATAAACAATAAAGAAAGTGTAATGAAGAAACTGTGGTGAAAAGAAATAAGCCAACATAATAAAATCTTAGGGATAAGAAACTCTGACTTCCATCTCTAACAATCATTCTCCAGATGCACTTGGGGGTGAAAGTGGTTGAATTTTCCTTCAGAAATCTTAACAGCATAGTATATCAAGAACTTATGACCATCAACACTGAACATCCACTGAGTAATTGCTTAGTTTTCCAGAACAATAAAAGCAAATATTTTCTAATGTTATATTTTATTGTACACAGGTGAATGTTATAGAAACTATCAAAATATTTTATATTTTACGAATTATTCTGCCATAACAGTATTTATCTGTCTACTTAAATTTTAGAGTTTTATTGCCCTTTGAAGTATGTTTAGTAATCCCACCACATAAGTTGTAACTCACTTGATGAATATTAGTTCACATTACCATATCAAATTATGCAATGCATGGTCTCCTCGTGAGTTACGTGTGAGCATACCTCATGAACAATTTTTCTCCCTTTATTTTACCTAATCTAACCTAAAAAGTTTCTAATTTTTATACTTTAGTTACTTCTATAATAATAAAGAGTACACATGAAATACAAGGAAAAAAAAGTAATTACTTCGATCTTTTTTTTTTTTGCTGTAGACTATCAATGACACTTAACTCTACTTTTTTATACTAATGGTAGTACTGCACTAAGTAATTTTTAATTTAATTAAGCCTTTTGCAATAGACTCAGGTAATTTACAGAATGCTGTATCAGGAATTTCACACGTGGAACAGTACATACTGTAACTCTTGAGATTTCTTAAAATATCCTCTCAAAAACTGGCAAGATTTTGCTAAAGATCATAAGTATCTTGTACATAAAGAATGACTATGCTAATTAAGTGGTTTTACTGAAAATATATTATTTATCTATTAAAGTTACTTGTACTTAAACTCTTAATAAATCGAGTGCAAGGTGATTTTATTTTAAGCATAAAAATAATTTTCTTCATCTTATAGTTTTCATATTCTATTTGCATAATCTCTCCTAAATGAATATCAAAAGTTTCAAAGCAAATATTTATATTTTATTTTTCATTTTCTCTACCATATCATCAACACATAATGCAATGAAATGCAACAATATACTTTTAAGTCTTTTGTAGGAATCTTTAAAGGTTATATTCGTAATTTCAGGTATTTTCCTTTTCACATATAGTTAATTTTTAATATTTTACTTTCCTTTCTTGTCCTTTACTATTATTAATCTCAACACAGGTCAATGGTGTCATTGGGGCATATTTCAGTATCTCTGGCAGCCATGTGCAATCCTTCAGCAAAATTTTCATGCACCACATAATATTGTAATATTGAGAACTGACACAAAGTATGATGTACATTAAAAAATGTTTAAACATTTCTATTATATATTTTAAGACACAAATAATACATAATTAACTAAAATATAAAAGTAAAATCTATATACCATTTAACTATATCTCTAACTATAGCATACTTAGGTAAGAAACAACCATAACTGCTATAGCAAATCAAGCAGCTAATAATACTACAGGCAGTTACATGTCCCCCATGATGAAAGCTGCAGGTCAATTTTAAAATGCCCAATGTTGGATTATATTGTAAAATGAGCTATTTATAATGACTATACACATGTAAACTACATGTAGGTTTTAAACTTCAAACAAATCTATTTAAAGTGGGCATGACACCTGTCAGGGGTTGACAAAATTTGTTATTTGTTTCAACTGCATTCATCCAGAGAACTTTGAAATATAAGTGTTAATAGGTTAAGTAAACATCTTGTTGTCTAAAAGTACATCTACACAACTGGCATTACATTATTGAAGATATGGAGTGCTAACGTAGAGAACTTCATAGCTTGTGGGTCACGTGACAATACATCTGAAGTCTTAAGTAGTTTTTTTAAAGTTTTCTTTTTAAATAAAGCACTTAAAACTTAGATAACATAAAAACTTTGGATCATAACATACATTATAATGTTAATTTCATTCACATAAATTGATAGTAAAGTTGTTTAATTAAATTTTCAATGTAACATAGTGACTTAAACAGAAAAGTGTTTAACACTTTCACAACAGGCATTCTTTACTGCTCATGACACAAGGTTTTAGTGCCTCACAATTAAAATGACAAACACCTAGCTAATAATCCATATTTTAATAGTATGCAAGTTTTAAGTTCTTAATTCTCTAAGGAAATACTTTATAAAAATCTTGAACTTCCCATAGTGTTACACACGGATATATTTTCTCTAGGCATCTTCTCTTCACTATTTTATCCATGACTCCTTCAAAATGTACAAAATTAAATGTAAATTGCTCCCTATAATATTGTCATTGCTCAGACAAACCAAAATTTTTATATCCTTCAATTTTGGTTGGTTACAGAGCTATGAAATAGAAAATCACACACACCTCCTGCCACATCTACCTGTCACATCCTCTTTTTCAGGCTTTGTTAATAATTCTCTTTTATGTTTAATTATATATTACCTATAAACAATAGAGTTGAGGTTTTCATCTGTCAAATGACGCATTGTATAACATTGTGTTCTGAACAGATAAGCATCAATTTCACTCAGAGTACAAGTTTCATTCCCATGGGAAAGTTAACAATGAGCTTGGATGAATTTGTAAGGGCTCTTATCACACAGTTAAAAAGCCAGAAAAATTTTAAGAGTTAGGGAAAATTGTCTACATTTTGCATGTTATTAGTCTATGTTCTTTGGTGCATTATTTAAATACAAATTATTTAGTGCATTATTACCATTAGTATAAAGAAAAAACTAGGGT